ACAAACTGGTTTCAGTATTGCCCATCTGGTGATGTCCATGTGTAGAGTCGCCTCTTGTGTTGCTGGAAAAGAGTGTTTGTGATGACCAGCTTGTTCTCTTGACAAAACTCTATTAGCCTTTGCCCTGCTTCATTTTGAACTCCAAGGCCAAACTTACCTGTTGTTCCTTTTATCTCATGACTCCCTACTTTAGCATTCCAGTCCCCTATAATGACAAGAACATCTTTCTGTGGTGTCAGTTCTAGAAGCTGTTGTAAATCTTCATAGAATTGGTCAAGTTCAGCCTCTTCAGCATCGGTGGTTGGTGCATAAACTTGGATTACTGTGATGTTGAAAGGTCTGCCTTGGATTCTTATTGAAATCATTCTATCATTTTTGAGATTGTATCCCAGTACTGCTTTTCCCACTTTTTTATTGACTATGAGGGCTATTCCATTTCTTCTACAGGATTCTTGCCCACAATAGTACAAGATATGATCATCGTCTGAATTGAATTTGCCCATTCCCATCCATTTTAGTTCACTGACGCCCAGGATGTCAATGTTTAATCTTGCCATCTCCTGTCTGACCACATCCAACCAAGGTCCTTAGATCTTACATTCCAGGTTCCTATGCAGTATTTTTCTTTGCAGCATCGGACTTTCCTTTCACTTTCAGGCACGTCCACAGCTGAGTGTCCTTTCGGCTTTGGCCCAATCACTTCATTAGCACTGGAGCTACTCGTACTTGTCCTTTGCTCTTCCTCAGTAACATGCTGAACGCCTTCCAACCTGAGGGGACCATCTTCCAGCATCATCTCTTTTAGCCTTTTGTTTCTGTCCATGAAGTTTTCTTGGCAAAGGTACTGGAGTGGCTTGCCAGCTCCTGCTCCAGGGGGATTGCGTTTAGTCAGAACTCTCCACTATGACCTGTCCGTCTTGGATGTCCCTGCACGGCATAGCCCATGGCTTCTCTGAATTACTCAAGCCCCTTCGCCACGACAAGGCAGCAATCCGCGAAGGGGAAAATTCTACCACCCTGGCTTAAACAGAGGACTTACTTTTGAAATACTATGCAACACTGACAAGAAAATAACCTGGATTAAAAGGGACAAATGACCTAGCAATTATGTAAAGGACTGCTGTGCGAATTCAGTACCACTGAAAGTGTTTGGATTTATTCCTGAACAGATATGCATAGGATTGTTCTGTCAGATAGTCTTTCAATGAAAAGACTTCATTAAAATGTAAAATGGAAGCACATTTATAGGTTAAATTCAAGGGAAATTAGCCAAAAGTACCAACTGTTGTGCAATGCAGGGTTGCAATTTTGTGATGGAATGACTGTGTGCGCTTTCTGAAACAGAGTCTGATAAGATAGTGACTTTAATATACTTGTAGTAAACCATTACAAGGTATTGAAAGGAGCTTAATTTTTAACAGCCTTTCAGATTATTTTTCAATCTGGAGGCAAAAGTCAAAGTTTTTGCCCACTTTTGGAGAGCACAAAGAGGTCTATTAGCCAAGGGCTGCCGCTTTTGCTTTCCTAAACTTCCTCCCTTTAACGCATCGGTTTCATCATTAATTACAGTCATTTGCTCCTTTGGCTTCATTACTGTATCAAAAACAATGTGGAGAGACCCAAGGTCATTGGTGGGTACTTAGGATTATTTTCTTCCAAATCAAATTATTCAAGTTTACCATCATTCCTGCTAAGAATTGGAAATATCTTTAAAAAAAAAAAATTAACTATTTTTGTCACCAAATGCTGTAGGGTTGGGACACTGCCAGCTGTGAGGGCTCTTTGACCAACTCAAAGGTACATGCACAGCTCAACAACTTTTATGGCGAAAAATTGTTATAATGGTGTTACCACTCTTGGCTTTGCAGCAATGCAAGCATACAAAACAACCTATTCCGTCTCTCATCCTATCAAGTTACAAGAACATTCCTAAAGAAGCAACCATCATCCAGCCAGAGATTTAAAAAGTAACTCTTAGGGCTGGTGATTGTCTTGGCTGGAGGAGTCTGTAAATCTGAAAAAGTGATTTTTTTCAAGCTTTCAATTAGCAAAATAGGGCAAATCATGTAGATGCAGTTACAGAATTCCCAAGAAATATGAGAAGCTATGGCAGTCTACCTATTGTCAGGAGCTGGTCATACTTATTTCCTGATTGCACTTCTATACTGCTTTTTGGCCAATGCCTTTGAGAGGTACATGATCAAGGTACATAGCACATATTACTGGGTACCTATTTTCTTATTCTGATGTGTTTCTATTCTACACACAGACTGAAATCCTGTTGCATAGTTATGCAAGCATGAACTGCCATAAGTTGAGAAATTATAGCCATTATCTGTTGCACTCTAAGGATGCTACTACACAGAGAGGGAAATGTGAATTAATTCACATTCTTTCACTGTGAAACAAAACCTTTCCATTTCACATAAGCATCAATTACAATTTTATACATCTCAAAACAAAAACTTACAATTTGTTTATATAACACTCATAAGCAATATGAGTTACCAGTTCAACTGCAGTAGTAACCAAATAACCAATAGGCTACTAATGCACATGGATCTTAAGTTCCTATTTTAAGTATAAGAAGCAAAGTCAGATCTTGCAGTAGGCAGGGACATTCCACAATCTAGGCATCACCACAGAAAGGCATCCTCCTCTGTCCACTTCCTACTGCCTGATAAAGTTTGGTGGGAGGTGGGGAGCTCAGCCAAAGGAATCTTGTGGCCAGAAGGCTCCTTTGCTGCCACGGGCCATTTGCTTGCACCATCAGCCAGAGGGACAAGGTAAGGCCAGTGGAGATTACTGCTGCTCCCACTCCCTTTGCTTCTTTTCAGAGGGCAGATGAATAGAAGCAAGGACAGGTAGGAACGTGGGGATTCCAGGCTTCGTTCACACAGCCCTTACTTGGAGGCACAGGCTGCAACAGGTTCCTGACGATGCCATCCACTGATGCCAATCCTCTGATGCCATCCACCACATTTCTAATGGCACAAAGATGCATAGCCCAGTTCCTGGGTGTAAGGCTTGAGGAGGCTTATATGGCTTCCAGCTCCAATTCCAAGTACTCGTCACTAATCTTTAGTGGCCTAGGTGAATTTGGAGTTGTATAATTTAGATAACATCTTCTCTCTGTCCCCCCAAGGTCAGCTCTAGTTCTTCCAGTCAGGGTTAGAACTCTAAGGTACAAGACCAGGTTTTCTTAGTGATTGCACATTATGGAAAAGTCTCCCTATGGAAGCCCATCAAGCAATTTCATCCTTTTTTTCTGTCCTCAGCTTTTCCAAACATGGAGGTTTATCTCTGTCCGCTTCTCTTAAATGTGCTGAGCCTGTGTCCGCAATGGCCGCAATGACATTGTTGTGAGTATTAACTGTTACATACAGCACTGATGTTACCTGTCTGTCATGGGTTTGGAGGGAAAGTTCCAGCCTATGGGGAGTGGAAGGCGGGACATCAGGAGGAGGGGCTGTACTGTATATATATGTGAAGCCTGTGTGGAGAAGTTAGGAGAAGCTGGTGTCACATTGATTATTTCAGCATGCTAAGCAATTCTCAGTTAAAGTGAGCTGGTCTATAATATGAAAAATAGGTAGATAAACAATCACTACCAAATATTAGGAATAATTGAAAAATTCATGTCCAAATCAAGCACTCAGAAGACACTTTCATCTTTAGCAAATGACTGACCATTCCCAAACAATAATAACTTACTGGGAAAGAAGGATATGTGTTCATTAGTAACTCTCTATCCACTCCTGGATACGTAGGTGTCAGCTTGGGTTCAGGAAATAAAAAATCTCTAGTGTTCTCTTCATAAAAAGCTAGCTCTTCTCTCTCTGAAACACAAAAATAAAAGAGTTAAGTGTATTGAGATAAGACTCATCAATCAATTGACTCAATCACAGTCTCTCCAATGGAACACAATGTCCTCACAGAGTATGGCAAAAAGGACTTTTTAATTGAAATATAGCACTCTTCTCCAAGGAACATACTACTCCACTGTGCATAGGCCACGCTGGCCTGCTAAAACCAGCGAAGAAAATGTTGTTTCTTCACTTTCAAAACAGTTCAGCTGTAGGTGTCTAATTTTTAGGTTTTGGCTCAAGAACAAATGCCTTTCATTTAGAAAAAGCAAGAGTAACATCCTAATTCTTAAAGATGCGGCTCAAGAACAAATTTAGAAAAGGCAAGAGTAACATCCTAATTCTTAAAGATGAACACGTTGGTAGAAAATGGTTAACTTCTTTGTTAACTGTTACTGAGCTCAAAAATCCAGTTTACAGACAAAAGAGATTGCTATTTCCAAGAGGTCCTTTGACTGCCGCTTTATAAACAAGGGGTGTTTTAGTATAAGGTTTTTTTTTCTGTAATAGAACACATGAAATAAAAATCAGTGTATGGCTACAATGCCAGAATCTATGAGAGTACTTGAATCATCATTACGGTAGTAAAAGTTTTATTGGAATTCAGAAGAACTAAGAATAAAGCTGCAAAAGGATACAAGTATGTATGAGTCAAGAAATTGTGGTAAACAGCCCTGTATTTTTTCACCCAAAATTAACAAAAAAATTGAGCTTCTTAAAGTAACTTTTCTCTCCTATGATACATTGTGTGGAGGGATTGTTATCTGAAGCATACATAGGCTGAAATCCTACAACCACTACTATAGGTGTAAGCCTCTTAAGGCACAATGGCTGAAATCCTGTTGCTTGGTGTAATAAGTAGCAACTGGAGTTAGCCCACTGAATCAGTGAGGAGCTGATAAGTCAACTCTTTTGTATGTTCCATTGATTCAATGAGCCTATGCTAGTTTTGACTTACTAAGCTAAGAAACAGATTTCAGATTTCAGTGGGACGTGATTTGCATATTTTAAAAGCCTTAATTTTCTACAATGTGCAAAATTACAGGTTTTGCCTGCAACAAGTATAGATTCTTCTATAGGACTGAGGCAACCCATGATTCATCCTGGTTTTCTCTGATGCCTTTTGGAGTTGAAAAATGATTATTCTCTTCCATCTCTCCCTCTCTCCCTCTCTCTCTCTCTCTCTCTCTCTCTCTCTCTCTCTCTCTCTCTCTCTCTCTCTCTCTCTCTCTCTCTCTCTCTCTCTCTCTCTCTCTCTCTCTCTCTCTCACACACACACACACACACACACACAGAGAGAGAGAGAGAGTGCATTTCTCTATTTTGTACATATGACACACATACACACACACTCTTCATTACTGTTGGCAAAACAAAAGAAAAGAGAGAAAAATATTGTAGCACTGGGAAAACTAATACTTTATTTCAGTGTGAGCTTCTTGGATCAAAGCTCACCTTCTCAGATAATAAAATAATAATCATGTGCTGTTAAGTCAATTCTGACTTATTCAGGGTTTTCCAGATACAGAGTAACAGAAGTGGTTACCATCCCCTTCTTCTGAGGATGTCTTGGGACAGTGCAGCTTGCCCATGACTACACAGGATGGCTCTATCCACATGCTAAGCCACAAATGCATTTACACATATCCCCATGACCAGGTGAGGATATAGACAATAGACAATGTGGCAGTGCTTTGTTACTTTGATTTATTGTTCATGGGAATATATATAAACGTATGTCATGTATTTGCACTCCAATGTCTGAGGAAGTGGGCGGTGCTCCATGAAAGATAATACTGAAGTAAAAATCAAAGAATGTCATAGTAGACCCCCGTATCCACAGAATCAGCATCTGTGATTTCACTTATCCATGGTCTGAAGAGATTAAAAAATTCCAGAAAAAACTATTTTCACATGTATTACCAGAACTAGCCACTTGATGGAGCCTGGGTCCAAGCTATGAATACTTTAAAGCAGTGGTCACCAACCTTGGGCCTCCAGATGTTCTTGGACTACAACTCCCAGAAGCCTTCATTACCACCTCTGCTGGCCAGGATTTCTGGGAGTTGAAGTTCAAGAACATCTGGAGGCCCAAGGTTGGGGACTGCTGCTTTAAAGAACACATCGCATGTTGTAGTCACTAGATCTGCTCTCTCTCTCTCTCTCTCCCACCTCATGGGGGGCTTGAAACCAATCCCCAGTGCATATGGGGGTCCCATGGTAATTTAATCTTTCAAGTACTTCAATATTTCTCTTTCTTTCTTTTCTTTTCTAAACATATTGAAACAGACTAACACAACTCCTTCTTTGGAAATCTCTTCACTACTGAAGAAATATCTTTAAGAGGTTCAGACCCCTCTGCCAATTCAGACCTAGATAAAATTCAGTACTTACAGGCATCATTTGCTGTTTTGACATTTTGTATACACCCAGGAGCTATTTCCCATATTCTAGAACCAAGTCATATAATTGCATTGTGAGCTAAAATTCATCCTCAGAGCTGAAATTAATTTTAATGGTATATTCTCAAGGAATTATGTGGTTACGTAATGCAATTCCCACATCATACTGCCCAAATGCAACCAAATCAAATCAGTTGTGTCTAAAAATTAAATTGACTATATCTTACTCTTGTTTGTGGAATGTATAACAATTACCACTAACACCATTAAATTTAAGACATTTTGTTGCCCTCTGGGCACTGATATTCTTGCACATGTCACTGAGATTATTCTGTAGTTGGATCAGTTATGAACTGTACAGTCTGAATGATCCCACAAGGCACAGGTCATTAGACTAGCAGCAAAAACTGAAGAGACAGAACACAGACAAAGAATGAGAAGGAATGAGAAAGACATACAGTATTTGAGTTTGGTCTACTTGGATGAACATACAGAAGTGCTTAATGGACGATTTAAAATACTGTCTGCCCTTAAAGTGAATGAGAATTGGGTTTGAGAAATGAAATTATGCATTCCCAGCACCGGAAAACTCTTATTATGAGGAAAATACTCTTGCAAACATTGTTCAAAGTGAACTGATGTCCTCTCTAAGCAACTTGATCCCTATCTACTGTACTATATGCAATCTTTCCTGCAAGCCAGTTTCCACCTACCTGCAGTTAAACTTCAGTCCGCACCTAGTTTATAGTGAGCCTTAGGCTAAATGACATCTTTAGCAAAGACCACTTCGGGTACCCCCGGGTCCATTTGTTCAACCTATCAACATCTCTCTTTTTTATTTTACGTGTTGCTTATTTCATAATCTGATGTATAATTTATACGCTTGAATGATCAGCATCATAAGGATGCCAGGAGTGCACACTACAACAGATACGCTGCTGGTTAATCTACATGTATTCGTGACATACTATTGTACTATTTCAACTGACAAAAGACTAGTTGAGTAGACAACCCAGGACAGGTGCACTCCACGCCTAGTATCCAAGATAATCACCTGGGTTCACCTGCCCAATCCACTTTTGGTCCCAGCTTCAGCGAATATGGTAAGCTAGTAATATTCCAAAACCTCTATTGTTACAGAATTTTCTTCTACTTTTTCTTCTAGGGGATCCACCACATGCCACGTAAATACTTTATATCCTATAGGGTTCCAGGTTATGCTTGAGGGTGCACAGGCATTTCCCACAAAATGCTGGACAAAGTGCTGTGTCACTACTGAGAATGAATGAGAACTGATGCTACAACACAGCCAGCTCTCCCCTATCTCGGCATACTGGAGAGGGGAACCAGAAAGAATGGTCAAAACTGGAAGGGTTAGGAAAAATGGTAGGAAGTTTGTCCATCATTATCATATTTCTCAATGGAAAATGCCAATAAATTTTTAAGAACTGCCCCCTACAATTTTTCCCCAGAACATCATTTGAGACCACTTTCAGATTTCCTCTTGGCTTAAAAACAAACAAACAAACAAAACTGTTGATACATTTTCTACTCTTTTACTTAAACTTTGCGCCCTCTTTTCTTCCTGTGTTTCATCTGATTGATCTCTCCTTTTTGAGTTTCCTGACATCTTTCTTGCATAAAATTAAACTCAGGATCAAACAAGAAGGCTTGTTCTGCCACCCTGTGTTCACTTTTTAGAAAGCTACAACAAAATGTTGCCACACTGCAGTTCACCCTCCAGCTCAGTCGACGGAAACCCAATGAAAGTAAACCTACTGTATTAATGGAACTTACTAATTACTAATTAGTTCACATACTAATTTCCCATTTATTTAGAGTGTCTCCTCTACATGGTATTGACACTTTGAACTGTAAATTATATTGTGGTGTCTGCAAATAAAAACTCTGGCAGAGGTGGGAATCCCAGACAGAAAGAGAATATCGCTAACCAAATATCATCAAAGAGAGTTACACTTTTATTACAGAGCAGACAAAAGTTCTGGCGAACAATCTCTGCCCACCCCACCCTGCTTACCTGAAGGTATCAGTTCAGATAATCGAAATTGAGTTACATTTTCTAAAAGAAGAAAGGGAAGGAACATTATTCACAGCATATGAAGGATTGTATGGCACTTAAATTATACTTTCAGTGCAAAGATAAGCAAATTTTGAGACTCTGTGAGAATTTTTTAAAAGTTTATTTGGCTGAAAGTTTAATTTAGTTTCCCTCTCCATTTCTCCCACTCTCTACCCCCAAAAGCTCAAATTTCCCCTTAGCAGCCTCTTGCCTTTGATGCTACCAAACCAACTTGGATTATTTTCATAGGCAGAAGGAATAAATATTTCATCTGACGATTTGAGATAGTCACATGAAATATTCCCAATCCTATCTTTCAGCATGAAAGGAGAAGACTGACCTACCAGTGTGGTGTTCACCCTCGTGCCCCTTGCTTGACCCTCAAGCCTCAGAGCACACAAAGGCAATCACTCCCCTCTTTTATACTGCTGCCACCAGGTCATCACTAAATCACCATAACTTCAGGAAGATTCAGGTTCACACTTCAAGGTCTTTTAAACAGAACTTTTGTTTATTGAATACAGAAACTTAAACTGATTCATGGATGTCTTCTTTAAATCAATTCGTCATTAACAACAACCTTCTATTAGATAATACACTCCTAAGTCTAATCACACCTCAGAATTCCCCAAACTTCACACTCTATCCCCTTCTCTCATATTCCACTCTTACTGGCTGTTACTCTTACTGTCTCTGTGACTCTGACTGACTGCCTCTGACTCTCTGACTCCGCCTCTTATAGCATCTCTCTCGGCTCTGCTTCTCAGCAACATGAATATGCACGAGCAATTACATCACAAAACATGAACCATTGACCTAATAAATGGGGAACACTACAGACCTCCCCTCTTAAATATGTTTGTTTGGGAGGGGAAACACGTTTTTCCTCCTAAACAAACAGGCACAATTACATAACTTATGTAACATTTCACAGTTTTGTAGGTAACATCACATTCAATATAACAATACCATTCCTATTACTCTAGACATTTTAAACAATTACCATTCCTTATGCTCTAAACATTTTAAACAGTTACCATTCCTTATACTCTAAACAATTTAAACAACATTCCTTATACTCTAAACATTTCAAACAATTACCATTCCTTATACTCTAAACATTTTATTAATAATCAATAATATACTTTACCTTATCATTTACACTTTACTATTATTATTTATTAATAATAACTGTGAATCAAAGTCCATTTCAGTTTATAATAAAAGTCCTGGTATCATTCTTCACATCTCTGTCCATGAATAGTCAATTTTTAATCTCATTTACAAACAGAACATTTATAATACAATATCAGCTTGGGTTATCCATTCCCATCAGTCATTGGGCTTTCAAGGCACGATCTGAGTCTCTTTTGCCAAGTCCAGGTTTGCAAAGTCCAAGACAGGCTCACTCCCGCAATCATCTGCAAGGCACCGCACCTTTCCAAGTCCATAGCTTGAAGCATCTGTAAAGAGGGTGAACTCATTGTGGTAGCCAGGTGCGCTGAAGACTGGTCTGGAT